TACATTATGGCTTTGCACAATCTTCCAATCCAGCTAATATTATTCTAAATGACTATTTCCCAAAGTGTCAGGGATCCAAGAGGTCTGTAAAATCAAAATTATTTGCCAGCCTGTATTGAAAAATAATACATTAAAATCCTATCAAACAATTGGGAGAAGTGGTAGTGGTAGCAAACACATCAATTAATTTTTTTAGTATAGTAAATATTGATAAACAGAACCCATACACAATAAAAGCTTTTTGGGAGTCCTACATAATTTTAAAAATGGGAAGGAGACATGAGAGAAATAAATTTAGGAAACACTAATGAAGAACTCCAAAGGTTTATGTGGACTATATCTATCAATATTTTCTGTATTAGAAATTAAAATTGAGAAATCTTAAAAATATTTATTTATTCAACATTAAGGTTGCCCCGAAAGGTCTCAGGGACCCCCAGAGGTTCTCAGACTACAATTCGAGAACTACTCATCTATATCAGTGTTTTTCAAACTTGGCAAGATAGATGGATTTCAACTCACAACTGTTGGCTGGGGAATTCTGGGAGTTGAAGTCTACCCATCTTAAAGTTGCCAAATTTGAAAAATACTGTCCTAGGTAGTTTGTCTGAAACGTATATTTATGTAGAAAGCACCACTGAATTCAAACCAATTTATTTCTGAGTAAATTGTAGGCATAATGCACCTAAGATGCTATGATATAATTGTGCGAGGAGGATGAGGCAGTTCCACAATGGCAATAAATAGATTTAAAGCAATATATTCGTTGTGCAACAGCATGGCACGACCCTTGACATCTGATATTCATACAAATAGTCCTCAATTTACCACAGTTAGTTTAGTGACTGTTCAAAGTTACAAAGACACTGAAAAAAGTGACTTGTGACTGTTTTTCATACTTACGACCATTACAATATCCCCATGGTCAAAATTGAGAGGCTTGGCAATGGACTCACGCTTATGACAGTTGCAGTGATCCGAGGGGGTCATGTGAGCCCCTTTTGTCACCTTCTGATAAGCAAAGTCAGTGGGGAAGCCAGATACAGTTAGCAGCCACGCCACTAACAACTGCAGTGATTCATTTAACAACTGTGGCAAGAAAGATCGTAAAATGGGCGAAATTCACTTAAACAGAAATTTTGGGCTCGACTGCGGTCGAGGATTACCTGTAATCCTATTTAGTTGGCCCATCCCTTACCCTGAGTTTCCCTTAACCAGCACTGAATTTAATTCGAATTTAAAACCTCCTCTACTGCAGTGTTTCTCAACCTTGGCAACTTGAAGATGTCTGGACTTCAATTCCCAGAATTCCCCAGCCAGCATTCGCTGGCTGGGGAATTCTGGGAGTTGAAGTCCGGACATCTTCAAGTTGCCAAGGTTGAGAAACACTGGACTATGCAGAGAATTATTCAGGAATTACAATTGGGACTAACATCTTGGTTGCTAAGCGACCATGACTATACATTAGCTGTCCTTTTTCCTGCCCTTTCACTTTCCTGTCCTTTGGAATCCTCACTGGAAGCACTGGGATAATTAGCAAGAAGAGAACTTACGTTCATATTTACTTTCATTGGAAAGGGATTACAAAAGAATATAAGCAGGCACACAGTGGAGACTGCACATAAAAAGAAATGTGTTAGCATTGGCTGTTTGCCTAGTGCACTAGCAGCTCCAGGCAGAAATGTGAGTGAAATCTTGTCAGTTACAGGCAGCAGTTGGGAGCCAGTGAATTAAGATTACAGAGCTGGGTTTGCTAACTTGTGGTTATCATCTTTTGGGGAAGCACTGCAATGTAGAGGAAAACAGCTCAGGGAGAGATTGCTTATTGAAACAAACTGTGGGGGAGGGGGAAAGCAAAAATGAGTCAGGCATAGGACAATGCAGTGAACTGACTCTAATGGCAAACATGATAGAGAGATGCTGTGGAGGTCATAAATGCACACGCTGATCGCAAAGTTATTTTTTTCATCACCATAACTTAAAAAACAGTCGAATGAGGCAGGCAGTAAACAAGGTCTTCCTGTAATTTCTCCAGTCAAAAGCTGACCTATTGCATTTTTTTTTTTATTGCCCGACTAGAATTCTATTACATTAAGTTGTGTTTTTTTGGAGCAATTTCAGATTTCAAATAAAGCTAATTTGGTAATTCAAACAGAAGCACAGAAGTTCTTGTTTTAAACCAGTGGTTCTCAACTTCTTTGAATTAACCACACAATCTCAAGTGCAGCAGTAGTTCTGTGACACACCAGAAAATTATTAATTCTATATATGTATTTTTAAACATGTAAGACATGGTTTGAGGGAAAATAATACAATTTTTAAAACATCTGCACTGAATTGAGTATACGGTTTATACAGAATATACATAATGCCAAAAAATATTGAAAAAATAAGGTGAAAATCCTGTAGCACACTGGAGACAAGCCCATGGCACATTTGATTGAGAACCACTGGAATTCTATTTGGAATCAAATAGAAACATGGGACTTACTTCTTAGTAGACATAGTTTTATTGTTGCAGTGTTTTTGTTTATGAAAAATCCTTAATGGAAGTTATCAGTGTTCCAAATATCATCCAGAAATAAATCAGAGTCCAAGGCAGAACTATCCTTAAACTTCCAATTTAATAAGAGAGACATGTTGGTACATCTNCCCAGAATTCCCCAGCCAGCATTCGCTGGCTGGGGAATTCTGGGAGTTGAAGTCCAGACATCTTCAAGTTGCCAAGGTTGAAAAACACTGCTCTACTGGATGTGTTCTGCTACTCTGCTGACCGGCACTGAAAATCACTTCGGTCTATCCCGCCATCCCTTCTACCCCCTCAGTTTGCCTTTAAGTGGAGTTACCCGCTTATTCCCTCCGCCACGATCCTCTGTCGAAAAAGTGGGTCGAAGCGCCCTTTCAGGTGTAGGTTCCTGTTGCCCACCCTCCTGATGGAAGTCGTGACAGACAGCTCCCTGTTCAATCAGTCGCGCCATAGGACGCGCGACAGCCAATCCAAGCCCAGGAAAAGGAAAAATAGGCGAGGCGTGTCGGGTAGTCAGGGACGCGGTCTCCCTGGCAACGGGGCCTGCGGTGATGCATCGGCGAGCCTGGCATAGGTTACCTCAGAGAGACGCTTTCTCCGCTTCTTCGTCGTTTGAATGAAATGGCGTTTCTCCACCCCTTCCTTCCATTTCAAGACCGTTTATAAGCCTAGCGTACATTATACGTACTCACTAATCTGCCGTCATAATAACATAGAAGTCTCTGTGGATGCAGTCACGAACTGCTTGGGGGAGCGGGGGTGGGGATGCTCCCGGGTGGCTAAAAGAAGTTTAAAATGGAAGAAACCGGAGGGGGAAATGTTTATCTACGAGAGAAGCAGTACTCCCTTGCTGATTGCATTAATGCAGTTTATTGCATGGGGAGAGCCCCCCCCCTTCTATTAATTTAATGTGCTGCTTTGCCTAACCGAAACCAAAGTAATGTACGGAGTAATAACATGCAGACATCCGTGCAATAAACAGAATAAAATCATTTAGGTGTATAGGAATTAAAATTGGAAGACTCTCTTGGCTTCCTTCTAGGGGTGGGCCAGAGTTTTGCAACCTAGATAGGTTAGCTCTGATACTGCACCAGGCAAAGATTATTGTCAATAGGGATTGTCGAGGCATAATAAATAATTGCAATTCAGCAGTCTCTTTAGAAAGAAGCTGCACCACTCGTTTTGCTCTTTGGTTGCAAAAGGTGGCAGGTTAATATATAGTTGATTATATGCCATCAAATTGGTAACAACTCCTAGAACATCCTCCGTCTCTAACCTGTTCTTTTATCTGAGGTTCATCTCAATGATGCAATCATTTCCATATTGAAATTGAGTCCATCCATCTAACTGCTGCTTGTCCTTTACTTCTCTTTCTTTCCTTCCACCTTCTGTCATTAGAGCCTTTTCCAGAGAACTGGGTCTTTGCATAAGGTGTCTGAAGAAGGGTAGTGTGAGCCTGGCCATTTGTGCCTCCAGTGAGAGAACTCTGTGTTGATTGGTTTAATGATCTCTTTGTTTTCTTGGTTTTCTATGATATTCTCAGGTATCTTCAACAAATTATGCAGTGCTTGGGTCCATATCTTACTTCTCTTATTTAGACCACTGTAGGGTGGGAGTAAGTCCAATGAAACAGGGATGGTTAGCTGTCTCCCTTATGATACTAACTAGCAATGTATTATGTCTTGGAGATTCTCAGTCATCCAGGTCATGGTTCTGAACTGAAGAAGCTTCTTGGATAAGAAACGAAATGTCTTCAAGGAAAAAATAAAGACATTCCAGTTGCCTTTTGAAAAAGCACCTTTGGGAATGTTGTGTTATTCCACTCACTTTAGAATAAATGAATTAAAAATATAGGCAAAATAGTATTAGAAATATAGGATTTTCACAATTGAATTTCCTCACCCAACCTGCTTCCTAGTGAGGGAACACTGGTCACATTAACTTGGAATTCTTGAATTATAGTTCCCCAAATATCTTGTAAGAGTTGGTTGTGGAAGGCTGGATTAAGATGGAGAAAAAAAAAAAGGATTAGTTAGAGTTAGTGCAATGAAATGACCCTGCATTTAACTTTGAAGATTCAGTAAAGGTAAAGGTTCCTCTCGCACATATGTGCTACTTGTTCCTGACTCTAGGTTGCGATGCTCATCTCTGTTTCAAAGCCGAAGAGCCAGTGCTGTCCAAAGACATTTCCGTGGTCATGTGGCTGGCATGACTAAACGCCAAAGGCACATGGAACGCTGTTACCTTCCCACAAAAGATGGTTCCTATTTTTCTACATGCATTTTTACATGCTTTTGAACTGCTAGGTTGGCAGAAGCTGGGACAAGTAACGGGAGCTCACTCCCATATGCGACACTAGGGATTTGAGCCATCAAACTGCCAACCTTTCTGATTGACAAGCTCAGCATCTTAGCCACTGAGCCATCGCAGATTCAATACCATTAACAAAAGTATAAGTGAACAGGATAGAATCTTACAATAGGATGAGAATGTTTTCCAAGCTCTCCCCCAACCCCAGTAGAACCTTAAGCAAAAAGAATAAGAAGCAACACAATTGAAATATAGAGATTTCTTATTTATTAACAGCCAAGAGTACTGTTTGGTCAAATACATCAATATTAAAACTGATTTCAAAAGAGGAGTAGAAGCGGCTTTGAAAGGACAGTACCGCTCAGAGGGTAATTCATAGGAACGAAGGGAATAGAAACAACACACACCAGAGTTACAAAGCCTTCTGCACTTTACACAATCCCTTCAATTATAACAGTTACACAACTCTTCAAAACTTAGAAGGTGACCCCTTTCCAATGCTGGGCAGTTGATTTAGACATCTACATACTTATTGATGCTAAAATGTGGAAAGGATGTGTAGAAGTTGAGAAAAAGATTGAATTATTAGCAAGCTACAGTGGATGGAAGTACAGCACACAGCACTGACCGACAGTTCCAATATTATCTTTGATATATTGATCAATTCTCAAGGACTGAGAAAAGGAAAATGAAGTGAACTTTCAGCTGCATGGAATGATCAACTGTTCGACATACTAAACATCTCATGGCTCAGCAACTGCCATATTGAATGTCCCCACTAACGTTCATAATTCAAAGTAAAAGAGATGTATGCGGCAGCTCAGTGGGGATTAATGTGATGAGGCTAACAGAGTGAGGCATATTTTAAAGTGAAGTGGATAAATGTATAACTATCAACACCACAACTACAAAAACGCACAAACCAGAAAACAAAATGGCCACCATGCCGTTCATGGGCAAAAATCTTGGCCTAGATTTTTTTTTTTTAATTACCGTATCTGTTTGCTGAAGTGGGGCATCATTAAATCCCAATACATCTCCACATGAAGCTATTAGTAAAAAAAAATTCACTGACTAAAAAACTGACGATCAACATTCTCTTTATATTATCCTAGTTTGCACCAGTTAAGTATTAATATATCTTTTCCCTTTCTTGGATAAAATGAAAATGATCCATTTAAATCAATGTCTGAAATGATAGTACTTTTGAGAGCGTCAGTCTAATTATGTGAGGTGGTTGTCTCTTCTAGAGAAATGAAATACATTTTTACTCAGCACAGGATAGCAATAGCAATAGCAGTAGACTTATATACCGCTTCATAGGGCTTTCAGGCCTCTCTAAGC